ACATTCACCTCCCTTCTCTCCTCTGACAGTGCCACACCCTGGCACAGGCCCTTATTGCCTCATGCCTGGGCTATTGCGTAGCCTGTTGGGTGGTCCACCTGCCTGCCATGTCTCTAGNGCATTCACCTCCCTTCTCTCCTCTGACAGTGCCACATCCTGGCACAGGCCCTTATCGCCTCATGCCTGGGCTATTGCGTAGCCTGTTGGGTGGTCCACCTGCCTGCCATGTCTCTAGTCCAGCCCATCCTCCACTCAGCTAGCTATCAAAGTGATCTTCCTAAAGCCCAGATCTGACCTTGTCACCCTTCTCACTCAGTAACATATAGGGGCTCCCTATCACCTCCAGTTTGAACTATAAAATCCTCTGATGGTCAAAGCATTTCAAAACTCCCTTCCGGTCATCTTACACCTCATCCCCTCCCCCTGCATGTATATTGGGATTGATGACACTGAACCCCTTATTGTTCCTTCAACAGGACACTCAATCTTCAAATTTGGGCATTTTCACTGTCCCTCACACCCAGAATGCCCTCCTTCCTCATCTCAGTCTCCTGCATTTCTTCAGGTTTCAGCTAAAATCTTAGCTTTTACAGGAAACTTCACAACCCCTCTTAATTCAGTGCCTTCTCTGTGTTGATTATTTCCAATTTACCCTGTACATAGTTGTTTGTATATTGTCTTCCTCTATTAGACTGAGCTGAAAGCAGGGACTGTCTTTTACTTTTCTTTGTATCCCTAGCACTTAGCACATAGTGGTTGCTTAAGAAATGTCTACCGATTGACTGGTCACATATCACCTTTTTACAGGGTTGTAATAAAAGGGTACAAAAATTGTGTGTGTGTGTGCATGTGTGTGTGTACGTACATATGCACTTGCACACACACTATAGGCAACTAGGTTACTCAGAGTACCTGACGGAGTCAGGAAGACTGACTTTAAATCTGGCTTCCAGGCAATACACCCATCTACTTCAATTTCCTCATCTGTAAAATGAGAATCATAATAGTACTTCACAAAGGTAATATTTATAAGGTGTTTTGTAAACCTTAAAGTACTATATAAATGCTAGCCATTATTAGGCAACAGGACTGTTCAGCTTAATTACGTATATGAAAAAATAAGTTTTCAAAGCAGTTTGCACGGGGCCTGTACTACAAGTGAATTCCAATTCTTAATAGCTGTATGATCATGGACAGGGCCTCAGTTTCCTTTGTAAACCTTAAAGTCCTATAAAAAGGAGTTTTGGCTTATTTATTATTATTATTATGCTCTTAAGAAATAAGAGAAATAAGTACCTGCTTCCCAAATACAAAACCCAGTGTGGCACAAATTAGGTATAGCACCTCATTTATACAGCATTGCTGTGAAATGTACTCCAAAGTAAATCTTCCGGTTAATGTTTGGGTGAAAAAAACAGTTTTAAACATAAACAAAACCAACAACCTTTTGACAGAAATCTTCCTAAAATGTACCATACTTCCTTGACTTACAACGCACCGTGTATTGAATATGGTCAAACATTTCAAAGTCATCACCTTTCATGACTTTACCATGCTGAACCACAGGCCCCTAACCTGTTGAGGTACGGCAGGATGTTTGCTCCTACACTAAATGTCAGATGCTGTGGTTTTAAAAATTTCTTGTGTCTGTTTTTCATGGATTGCCCTCCGACAGTCTGTCATTGATCATTTCTTGCTATCCTTCCCCCGACCACCCTCTTCCTCATTTCTGTGCTGCTTTTTACCTGGATGCTGGAAAACCAGACCAAACCCGTTCAAATTAGACCTAAAATTAGAACTCCCAAAATGTGAATGAAGTATGTACCATAAAAACTTTATAACACCTATTTTGTCTGTTCAGAAGCTTTTTACTACTGAGTTTGCAGCTCTGTTCTAGAATTGTCACTATACTTATAACAATCCTGCCTCTCCCCTGAGGGTCCCCAAGTTCAGAGTGCTCCATAATTTGGTTATCTGCTTATATAACAAAGGGCAGCTAGGTGGCGCCATAGTGCACAGAGTGTGAAGCCTGAAGTGAGAAAGGCTCATCTTTCTGAGTTCTGTTTTGACCTCAGACACTTACTAGCCGTGTAACCCTGGGCAAGTCACTTTACCCTGTTTGTCTCAGTTTTCTCATCTGTAAAATGAGCTGGAGAGGGAAATGGCAAGCCACTCTAGTATATTTGCCAAGAAAACCCCAAATGGAGTCACAAAGAGTTAGACACCACTGAAATGACTGAACAACAAATAATAATAAAAAAAACCAACCCACTAAATGGAGATAACAAAGGAACCACAAGGACCTCAGCCAGCAGTTTTTCTTAGCATGATTACAGAACAGATATTTTTTTAAAAGGCAGCTATGAATGATGTGTCATAATCATGAAACAACCTTAAGTTTTACTTTAACTCCTTCACGTTCATACCTTGAATAAGTCATAGAGTTCCTCTAAATCTTCAGGGAGAATGGATACTTCTGGAATAACAACCCGGAGCTTAAGAAAAGGAAAGAACAGTATGGCATGAATACCTGGTTCTGTGTATGGGGAAGAGAATGCAACAGTAGGTCACTTGGGAAGTCTGGAAAATTGGGCTCACTCATGCACAAAAGTTCTAAATGCAAAGTTTCCTTTTGCTAAAATCACTGATACATGGCTGGTGACATTACAGAGTGATCCGATATTTCTAGAAAGTTAATGTGGAAAGTCATATAAGATTGTGATTCCCACCCTATGCTCAGCTACACTCCATGGCAGTCATTCTGGGCAGCATTTCACTTACAACATTCTGTTTTGTTGTGTCCTCATGACCTTGGAGAACTCGGATCCGGTGTTTGCAGCGCATATGCTCAATCAATTCCACTGACTGGTCTCCAAATTTCTGCAGCAAGACATATATTTGAAAAATACCTTCATGTATAGAAATAGCAAAAGCAAACTGTTCTCAATGGATTTTGAATACAAAATCCATTCTTTCTTTAAAAAAAATAAATTTCCAGGGTAGACCTGAGGTGGCCCTTCTTACCTCATAGGAATCCCGAATTAGATCTGCTATATCTGTCACAGGGTAGGGTTCCTGATCATCAGAGAAAAAGGCATGATGATTTCCAATTGGTGGTCCAGGGCTTTCTTCATTTTTAACATGATCCAGGAACCTAAATAGAACCACCAACCCATTCAAGGACATGTTGTCATCTACACAGCTTGGTATCACCCCCTTTTAGATAGTCTAGTTTTAATGGTAAAGATGCTTCTTAATGTTGAAATAAACCCTTTTAAAAATAAAAGTACATCATTATTACATGCCTAATGACTGAAACATAAAAAAAAAAGATAGCTTTCAAATTTCAGGGAGATAATACATTTTGCAGATTTTAAAACTGGTAAAGACACTAAAACTTCTTAAAGGGCAAACCTATAATTTTTTTTTTAATGTGAGCATCAGAAATAAAGCCAAATCCAGTTCTGAGTGGAAGCTCATATCAGCAACTCTTTGTACTTTTTAAAAGAAGAAAAAGGAAAATGTTAAACTATTGTGTGATAGTATTCAATAAAGACTAGAGACCCCTCAGTAAATTCTCTGAAGCTGAATTGAGACTTGGTATATGTGAAAGATCTGTTACATAGAATTAATATTATTCGTATAACATAAGTAATAAAATGTTTTATCAGTTTCTTCTATTTTATGTATCATGATTTTTTAAGAATATCCCTAGGGGCAGGTAGGTGGCACAGCGGATAGAGCCCTGGCCCTGAANGACCCTGGGCAAGTCACTTAACCCCAATTGCCTAAGGAAAAAAAAAAAAAGAATATCCCTTACCCCACTGAGCTCACCTTTTTAAGACAAAAACAACACCTAAATGCTTTCTATTTTTCCAAAGTGCTTTCACACTGATCCCATTTGATCTTCATAATAACCCTGTGAGGTAGACAGGGGTAGGTACTTTATTTAACTCCCATTTTACAGAAAAAGAAACAGATACAGAATAGTTAAATGATCTGTCCAAGTGAAATAGTCAGGACCAGAACACTGCTCTTCAGATTCTGAAG